AGCCAACATTGCAGGTGTTACAGAAGTGCCGAGTGAAACCTTGGAAGTCAGTCCAGGGCTGGGAGACGGCAGCAGATGGGAAGCTGCATGATCCCCACAAGATAATCAATCCCTTTTCTAGGAAATGGAGATAACTTTATGAGCTTACATTGAGTAATTATTATGGGAAATAATTAATAGACCGAGTAAAATAATGATATTGAAAGAAGCTATGCTGAAATTCGTTTGGTAGGCAGAAGAATATGAGCAGTTTTAAGTTTGAAGGAAATAGAGTTGTGACCAAGAATGTCAGCTGGGTTCAGATCTCTGCTCTGCCACTTCATTAGCTGTGTGACCTCCAGTAGGTTACTGAATTCCCTGGGCCTCTGTTTCCTTATGGGTAGGAGCTACCTTGCAGCGTTGTGACAACACACCTGAGGTCATGCAGGTAAAGGTCCCATGACCATGGTGGAGTGATGCTCATCAAATGGGAGCCGGGACTGTTTACAGAGGTTAAGATAAATTGTCTTCATTGCCTTTTATGAATTAGAAAGAAGTCCTTTCATAAGCTATTGTGTTCAGGGTTATCAATAAGACGTGGGTTGAATTATCTCATCAGCTAGATAAGGGAATGTTATTTGGAAACCTTTAAGCATACCTTTGGAGGGAAGCAGCCACGCAAGAATTCTGAAAATCCGTTCATGGCATTCGGTGAAAGAGCACACTGCCATTCCAGCCTGTAGGACATTCTTTGAGTGATGCCAATCATTTTGATAGTGCAAGGGGACCTGCCTGGCATGTTGATAAAATCATTCAGGAGATTTTGCAAGTGCTAAAACATTGAACCTGCTCTCCAAGATCTGGCCTTCTTCTCATATGAGCATCTCTCTTTGGATGGAAGAGACCAGGTGCCACGGGTCTGGGACCGGGTCAAGTGGGTCATTTGATTTCTGGTATTCAGGACACACTGGGAACCAATTATTTCCAAAGAAGCTAGTAAAAATAGGTTACAATTAGCTGATACATGTTTTTTTTTTTTTTAGTTTTCTTAAAAATTTGTTTTTGGTTGTTGTTTTGGCCTTGTCGGGAATAAAACAGGACCAGAAATCCCTGGCACTCTCAGGAGTCTCATTCAGCAATATCACATTGCAAATGTTAATTTCCTGGCACTTAGTAGCCTTCTGTAGTAGTCCATTTGGGATGCAGTGATCCCACTACTCGGTATTTATTCAAAGGAAAGGAAATCGGCATACTGAAGAGATACCTGCACTCTGATGTTCATTGCAGCACTATTCACAATAGCCCAGATATGGAATCAACCTAAGTGTCTATGGACAGAAGAATGGATAGAGAAAATGTGGTGTATATACACAGTAGAATACTATTCAGCCTTAAACAAGAAGGAAATTTGTCGTTTGTGATAACGTTGAATTGGAGAACATTATGCTAAGTGAAATAAGCCAAAACAGAAAGACAAATAATGCACGTTCTCACTCACACATGAGATCTAAAACAATTCAACTCTTAGAAGCAGAGAGTATGATGGTGGTTACAAAGGCTGAGGGCTAGGGGAATGTGGAGATGATAGTCAAAGGGGACAAAATCTCAGGTAGAAGGAATAAGTTTGATTTTATTTTTTGAGATTTATGGCACAGTGTGGTGAATAGAACTAAAGATTACTATCCATTTTGATATCACTACGAAAGTAAATTTCAAATGTTCTCATCACAGAAAATGTTAAATATTTGAGGTGATGTATATGTTAGCTTGCTTTAATCATTCCACATTGCATTCAAAAATCATAACATCATTTCATACCCCACACATATGCACAACTATACTTTGTCAATATATGGTAAAAAATAATAAAATTTAAAAAATTTTAAATAGTCCATTTGGGAAGAAATTGATACATATCAGCATTCCTGCCAATAATTCACATTTTAACGGATCAGAATAAAATAGCCAGTCATTTGTTCAAAATTACTGAATATACAAAGTAGAACTCTAAGTTGATTAGCTTACCCCACGAAGTTGGGGATATCTGGAAAGAAGATCTGGCATGGATTGGTCTTCAGCACCTACAGGTGAGTGGGCTGGGCTGGCAGCAGCCCACGCGCATGTGTGATGGGGGACAACCTGGGTTGATGTCACAAGCCTGAGGGAATGTACACACCCACCAGGCTGCTCTCACCACAGCCATCCGAGCACGTCAGGACTCGAAAGGCCCTCTGAGTTCACCGAATCAAATCTAAGTGAGAGTCGGATTCCTCTGTGAATTCCTTTGGAGGACGGTGAGGAGGACTGTCCACACCTGAGTCTTTTGAGGATAAATTTAATTTTGAAAGCAGCAAAACTTCAGACAAAGCCAAGTCAAGTGAATAAAGTAATAATCAGGATGAACACATTAAAAATAGGCGGAGCCATAAAATGACCAAACTGGTTTCCTCGTATGACCCACAAAGTGGTTCTGAAAGGTAATTCCAGAAGCACCTAGAGAAACACCCTCCTCCCACTGCTGGTGCTGACACAACTTCTCTGAGGACAGACAGCAAGCTCATATTAAGATCTTTAAAAATGAGCATTGTCTTGGCCCAGAAATTAAATTTTTAGGAATCTATCATAAGGACGGTATTGAGATGATGCACAAAGATTTAACACAAAGTAGGAAGCTTGGCACAGCTCACAAATTAGAACTGACCTAACTGTCCAACACTAGGGATATAGAAGGGTATATACAGGCAATAGGGTACCGTGGAGTCATGAAAGATGATGCTACTGAAATGTTTCTGTTGATGTGGAAAACTGCTCATGTGCAACAGAAAGAGCAGGTTATACAACAGATGAATGAATAAAGAAAATGTGGTGTATGTACACCGTGAATACTATCCAGCCATTAAAAAGAACGAAATCCTGCCATCTGTGGCAACATGGATGGACCTGGGGGACGTTACATTAAATGAAATAAGCCAGGAACAGAAAGTTAAACACCACATATTCTCACTCATATGTGGAAGCTGAAAAAAGTTGATCTTATAGAAGTAAAAAGTAGAACAGAGGATGCTGGAGGCTGGGACAGGTGCCCAGGCCAGGTCTGCAGACATGTGTGGGCATTCAGATGAGCACATCTGTGCTAGAGAGCCCAAAAGAAAGGAGTAGTCTAAAGAAAAAGAAAGGACACATTTTGACTTTCGGTTGGATACAGGAGTTGTGATTTAAAAAACAAACAAACAACAACAACAAAAAACCAGAAAGATCAAGAGAGAAGAAAGAAAAAATTGTGATGAATATTAGACACTAAATCCTATACACAGATATTTATAGCAGCTTTATTCATAATCGTCAAAAACTGGAAACAAATTAAGATGTCCCTCAATAAGAGCACGGGTAAACACATTGTGGTACATCCATGACATTGGATACTATTCAGCAATAAAAGTGAGTATCAAACTCATTCACAAAAAAGACATAGAGGAACTGTAAATGCACACTGCTAAGTGAAAGAAGCCAAACAAACCGCATGATTCCAGCTAGTATATGATGTTCTGGAAAAGGCAAAACGGTGGAGACAGTAAAAAGATCAGTGGTCGCCAGTGGTCGGTGGGGGAGAGGGATGACTAGGTGGAACATAAAGGATTTTAAGGACAGTGAAACTATTTGGTGTGATACTAAAATGGTGGATACGTGTCATTATGCATTTGTCAAAACCCACAGGATGGACAGCACCAAGATTGACCCCTGATGTAAACCACATACTTGAGTTAATGATAAATTATCGTCAACATTTGCGCATCAGTTGTAACAAATGTACCATACGGATGCAAGATGTTAATAACTGGGGAGACTGTGTTTGGGGAAGGGAGGAAGAGGGTGTACATGGCAACTCTGTGTACAACCAGCTCAATTTTTCTATAAACATAACAAGTCTACTAACTGAAAAATCAAACCCCTCAAATATATTATGAATAAAGAAATCATGCACTTAGCTACCCAAAAGGGGCCCTTGGCAGATAAAAGTTTGGGAAACTGCAAGAGCTAGCTCTTTTTCAAAGGCAACTGAGAAGATACAGATGACCCAAGTGTGAACCAGCGGGATGCCCCGAGATTAAAACAACCCTGACTGCTCACACCTGTCTCAGACTCAACAAAGCCCTTCCAGTCGCGCTTAGCAGTGCAGGGGTGTGGGGGAGGGGGGAAAGACCCGAATTCTTATTCAAAGAAATAACAATTTGGAACGTGCACAAGAGTGTCAACAAGTTATGTAGATCTTATCAGCATGGCATTTTTGGTGCCTCCCAGCTATCCGGCTGGGCTCCATCAGCCTGTTAACACCCTCCAGCTTCCTACGCACGGTGAGCCTATCAACACCTCGGGAGGCTCTGCCCCGGCAAGGCCTACCTCCCCAGCGCCCCGAGGAGCCAGAAGTTTCTTTCTTTCCCTCTCCTCTCACGATCCCATCATACCATCCGCTCAGTATGCACGAGGACCTGGTGCCTTTCCTCTGCTAACGTGCTGCGACTTAGTGGGTGCCAAATCGTCTATAAAATTGAACGATACCTTTATGCTAACTTTGAAAGAGTACTCAAGGTGGAAAATTCTGAGATCCTCACAACATGAAGGAAGAGAAAGTATAGTTTCAGGAATGTGGGAAATTATGCAAAGTCATCATTCAAGTATTTTAAGCGTATGTACGAGGTGTTTTTACTTTTGCAGATAAAACATCACGATTTTGCAAAATTATGGAGAAAGGATGAGACATGAGACTTGTGGAGATTCCTTTCTTCGCCTGCCCTAAAAATAAAGTCAACAAAACTCCACCCCACCCCCATAGTTCTGGTCATGTATATACATTACTTCATGATAATGCCGCCTTTCACATGTAATTTTGCTAAAGGATGCAAAAAAAGCATTTATTTAGACTAATGAAAATGGCAGACTTTACATCTCAGCTTTCTTTTACAATTATCTGCTCATTACGGTGAAGTCAGTGAAAGGCTCTCCTTGTTTGTTTTCTTTTTTAGGCAGCTTTAAGTGCCTTGAAACAATTTTCTGAACAAGGACTGGATCCAATCGATGGGGCAATGAATATTGAAAAAAGTTCTCTTGAAAAGTGAGTAAATCTTCTGTCAGCATTCTTACATTTGTAATTTTGTAACTATCTGAAAGATAAGATAGCTAATAATAAGGTTAAAAAAATCAACAAAATAGCTACATCTTACAAAATCATTCATAACACAATTACGAATTAAATGTAAGTAAATGAAAAACAGTATATATAGTCATATCCTCCTATAGGTCTGTGAAAGTTTTAACCTACTAATTGATCGTGATTTCTGCATTTAAAGCCTTTGTTGGAAGTATTTATGTGAGTTTTGTTGACTGTAGATACTTGCAAAACTTGTAAAAGATTGTTTTTCACTTCATACTGTTGAGCATTGAGTGGCTAAGCCATTTTCGGAGGTAAAACTTTTCACTCGCATTCCTGCTAAGTTGTGGGCAAAACAGAGAAAAGAAAAAGAAGTTGTGAGGAAGCGTCCCTCTTCTTGGCTGCATTTGGTTTTTCGCATTGTTATAGGAAGCACCAGCACACATTGCCACAAAAGTGTGGCTCCCACAGGCTACAAAGGCAAAAAGGTACCTATGATAATTATTTCTGAAATCCAGCTCATACCTTTTTTAAATGAGTTTTGAACAGAAAGTTTCATCTAAGAGACTGAATTTTGGGTCTCTCCAGAGACCTCAATCTACCCCAAAGAAAATGAAAGCAATTATATTTACATAGTAGAATTCAAACTCTTTCAAAGCAGTGATAATAGCAGGTGAGATCTCGGAACACACACAGGAAATGTTATTAGATTAAAAAAAAAGAGATAACCCAGGAAGTAAAAACCAGATATACTGATCTCACAGTTAAATGAGTGTACCAAAATAAATAAATGTATAATTAAAATTTAAAAAACTTAAAAACAGCATTTGGTCATTAATATTTAAAAGGTGAGAGTATGAGAAGAAAACATTTGGTAAACAGACATGGCATTTTAAGTTGCCTATAGATTGGCAACCATCTATAAGCTAATTTAATCAAAACCATTTCCACATGATCTCATCAGTAGACTATCTGAACATAAATATTGTTGTTTCACTTTAAAATGTCACTTTTGTGGTGACCTTTGAGTCCTATGTGCTATCTGCTAATAAACATGTCTGAAGATGTGCAACCCCAGACCCTCAGCTCTTGTTAATGTATTAATCTTTCAGACAAGCCAAGCATCTGAGAGAGAAAGTGGAGGATAACCAGGCGCCCCCGGGCTCCATCGCTCAGGACTGCAAGAAATCAAACCCCGTCTAGCAGCTCCCAGAACCCGCCACTGCCACCGCATCCTTATAAACCTGTCAGCACGCATGAGGGTGTCTGTGTTCTGGGAAATGAATGACTAATACCATTATTTGAGTCTTATGTGAAGACAACACTATTCTAACACAAGAGATAATATACATGGTACTGTTTATTCAACTGGGGAAAAATAAAACTTTGAGCATTTCCCTTGGAACTTGAGATCAGATCATAACTCATTTGCCCAGAGGCGGCAGAAATCTGATCTTGCTACTGGAGCTTAAAATAACAAGTAAAGAAAAGTGTTAGAAACAGAGCTAAAATTTTCAAATGATTAATAGAGAAGTTGGGTTTGGTTCCGTTGTTATGATTGTTTTGTCGTGGCACTTGTGTTCACTTATACTCTCTCTCTCTCTCTCATTTCAAATAATGCTTGACAATTCGAAAATTAACCAATGACGTGCTGTGGAATGTGATGGTCGTTGTCTTCATATAGAGTCACATGGTTTCTCTTTTTATGCAGATATTTGTAATCTTCATCCTATATCAATATGAATAACTTTAAGGTGCACTACGGAAAGATGTATGCAAACATGTTTTAAATCAGGTCAGACATTTGATTAAAAATATGAACTCATGTTAGGAGCAAGTAGTTTCAATATACTCCAGGAATTTCAGAACAAAACAAAACAAAGCAGTTGTGGGTTTTGAGCTCCATATACTCTTAGCAACTAAGGCGGCGTCTTGCCCTTACACATCGTTTTCCTGGATCCCACTGTCTGTCGTGGGAATCGCATCCACCTCCATCCGTGTGTTGTAGCCACTCACGGTTTGCATCAAGAGTGTTTTTAGTAACTGCCTCTGGCCTTGGGACAGAGAGTAGGGTCAAAGTAAATAACGCACGTGGCGGGAAGGGAAAGCCTGTTGGAGATGCTCATAGCCAGCCACGCTCTGGACCAGCATGTTGGAATCCAGTGCGGAGCAAATGCAGTAAAAATTTGGTCGGTTTCTGTGTGAAGCGTTGTTATTGTTGTTCTTTCGTTCTATCACTCTCATCTTTCAAGTATCGCCTCGGTGAAACCCATCCGAAAGGCCACCACCCGGCCGAGTCATCCTGCCCAGCAGTGGGATCAGAGAGTGGACAGGGGACAGGCCGTATCTGCGAAACTGCAGAGCCGCCTCCTGGGTGACTCGGGCCGGTCCCTGACCAGGGCCAACGTCATCTCATTGTTCAGGCTTTCTCCTTATTGATTTGCAAACGTTGTGCAATGAGAAAACACTATATGGTCTAACTGCTCGCCCAGCATGACAATAGGAATATAATTATGTAAGATTTCACAAGCAAAACCACCGCAAGTCATGATCTGGCTGACTCACACGCGACCGGACAATAAACAAACAGCGACATAAGGAAATAACTCTAGGGTTGTTTTTAATGGTTCCCATGTGGGAAGCCCGTCAGCGCTGGGAGGGCTGGGTGCCCTTGGAGGAAATAGGTTTTGTTACATAAAGCTGGGTGCTTGTGAAAAGAACAGCACATTTGCAAAATTGGGGTTCACCAAGGTAAACTGGGTGGACCACAGAGGCACAGAGGGCCCTAGATCATCCTCTCAGGCCCTTTCTTCTGCAAGCCTTCACCACCTGAGGCTCTGGCCTCAGATAGGGCAGGGACCATTTCAGGCAGGATCATTGAAGTGGATCTTCAGTTTACCCAGTGCAATAAACATCGACTACCTCCTGCAAGGGACTCCAAACTACACCAAGGCTGTGGAGCCTGTGGGAGAGCAGTGAGCTCAGGGAACAAACAAAGCTAATCAGTTCTCACGACCCAAGTATCTGAAGCATTTAACTCTTGAGCTGTCTGACAGCATCACCCTTCCAGCTGATAGATCCCTGAACACAATAGAGTAGTGGGGGTGGGGGGAGGCAACAGAAATTTGCATAGGATCTCAGTTTAGTGAGAGATGATTGATTCAAAATCCCATCCCCTCTACCTGCCTGGAGAGCCCAGGAAGACCTTCGGATATTTTCTCCGGAACAGCAGCACTTCCTGGGAACCGGCTGGGCTTTCTTTGGGTTGAATTACTAATGCAAATGATGGGTGGCCTGCAGTCCCTGGCAGACACCCACTGCAATGCTCGGTTCCAAAGCGCAATGTTATATATCATCAGAGGGGAAACTATTAACTAGATTTATTGAAAGTATGTTTCTTCGGCACAAGGAGATCTTTTTGATGAAAAATGGAACTCATTATTCTTTAAAGGACACAGATTGACTTATCTCCTTTATCAATTACAGTGTCTGCTTTCAGCTTTTCTCCATCAGCGCTGGGCTTTGTAGTCACTTTCCAGTGCTGAGGCCAATGTGTTTTATGAGAAAGGTTTATTTTTACATTTTAATTGGAAATATAATATTACACTTTGGAACTCTGACCATCCTTTCCAGTGCAACTTGCCAAAGATCAATGGTGAGACACCAGCGACGGGGCTGTGACAGGTTCCTCCCTTTCCTGGGGTGACCCCTCCCACAAGTTGTCCTAGCATTCTTCTCCCCAGCAAACATTCTTCATAGTAATTTTTTTTTTTTGGACAGCTTCAACCAATTTCCTGCACCATAAAATAAAAATAGATTAATGAAAAACCTGCCTTATTATACGGAGGTTTTCAGGATTCCTAGTGATTTTAGAAATGTGGTCCAGACCAACTGATTAGTGTTTAAATCCTGCTGCAGGTTATTACTGTAGCTGCCAGCAGTTTGCTTTGTACCTTTTAATTTCTGAAGGCTACTTGCTACCATTATGGCCAAGGATGATAGAGAACCTAGCAGTTTTGCACACGGAGCTGATAAGTCATTAATGGCATAATCATGTGTGAACTTGTCTTTGAGTCTCCCATAGCCTAACTCACCATAATATAGACACCTGATAAATGTACAAGTCATACGTTGACTACACGGAAAATGAATGATCTCTCTTTCAACACCCACTGAGAAAATCATCTTTAATTCTCACTGCCCACATGACAGAGACAGGCAGCACTCATGGTAATCTATGGCATTACTGTTGATAAGATTTTATGCCCTCAACTCCAAGGGGACTGTGGCATTTCTTAATCACGAACATGGCAAGTCCAGAAACCCCTTCACTTCAGAGGTCTTTGGACCCCTGGGACCATCCTTCCCCCATCTCATATTTGTTTGTTTTCCTTCCATAGGCTAGCAGATTGAGTTCCAATCCCCGCCCCCAGATACATTCCACTATTTCCACAATCACATGTGCATATCTTCATGAGAAGGGACTTTGTAATATCTGCTTCAAAGCAAAGACTTCCTTAGACCTGATCAAACCCAACTGTCTATTTTTGGCATACACTATCCAAGTTCCATCTCACCTTGCCAAAATTCGTTTAAAAGTTACTGTGCTGGGGAAGCCTTCCTGTTACATTCTAACCTCTTCACGTAAGTAAGAGTTCCCTTAACTGTATCCATCCCCCACACAATCTGATGTGCGTGTGCTGGAAATTCAGGAAATAAAAAGCAAACAAAACAACTTTACCGTGAAGAACCCACACTCTAGCTAGTGGGAAGGACAGACCAAGGACATGAGCCTGGATAACTGGATGTCCCTTACTCAGAACCACTGTGTTGTGGCCCGTTGTTCACCTCCTTGACTCTTTTGGTCAGTCCCTTATTCACTCCCTCACTCATCCTGCTGTGATTGGGGCACCAGGCTATGTATTCTGGTGACACTGTCGAATAAGCCAGGCCTGCTTTCCAGGAACTTTCACTCTAGTAGTATGTCTTATCTCACTGCCACCCACGTACCCCACACATCCACTGACTCCCCTCCCCACAATAACACATACTAGGTTTAAAGCTCTTTAAGCTCACCAGCACTCTGGACGCCATCGATCCACAATCTCACAGGAGATTCCTGACCCAGAAGCAGTGCTCACCTTAATACAGTAAGTACTCAAGAACAGATGAATGACCTGAAAATTCTGTCGCAATAAATTTGTCCATCTAATTGCATCAGTGGTGACCTGGACACATGGATGGAGGCCCCCTGGGTGGAGCCTTGTGCCTGGGAATAAACTTCTAGTTCTCTTTCTGTTAGCTTGTAGACTATTGACGTCATTTAGCATCTTTGAGTTTCGACTTTTCATGCAAAACTGGGGATAAGAATATGCAGGAGTATATGGACTATTTATTTTTATTTTTAAGTTTTTTAGAAATGTCACCCAGACTGGATTCAAACTCCTGGGCTCAAGTGTTCCTCCTGCCTCAGCCCCCTGAGTTATGGGACTACAGGCATGCACCACCACACCAGGCTAATTTTTAAAAATTTTTTTAGAGATGGGGTCTCACTATGTTGCCCAGGCTGGTCTTGAACTCCTGGCCATAAGCAATCCTCCCTCATTGGCCTTCCGAATAGCTGGGACTACAGGCATGTGCCACAGTGCCTGGCTATGGACTATATTTAAAAGTACACAAGTTATGAATGTTATTTCAATCAAAGTTAGTGAGTATTAGGGAAAGAGCAATGGTCTAGGAGTTGGGAGTCCAGGGACCTGGTTCAGACACCCTTAGTGAGGGGTGTAGCCTTCCAGGCCTCAGCTTCCACATGTATAAAACAACGGCCCCTAAGAGCACTGGAACACTAAACTTACCTTTTTATTAGTACCCCTACAGTGAGTGGTATGCTTATATTCAAATTTTGTCTCTAATATATGTGAATTTTTTATCAAATACCTGGAAGGAAAATATCACTCTTATATCAATTAAGATTGTTTTGGTTGCAAGTTATAAAAACTAATTCAAACCAGCAATGGGAAATTTGTTATAAAGCTAGAGGATATTTCATGTAACTTAAGGGCAAAAATGCAGAAAGGAACTGGAGCCAGGAAGTTCTCCCTCTTTCTTAATGCCCATTCTCTTTCTCTCTCTCTCTTTTCTCTCTCTGTCTCTCTTTCTGCAAGCTAGCGTTTGCTTCTCAAGTATACATGTCAGAGAACATGGTTACTGATAGAACTCAAGTGTACAGCCACCTGAAGAAACACTGAATCTCTCTTTTGATTTCCTTCCCAAAGTCTCAGGAAGGAACCCCTGTCGGCCCACCTGGGACCAGGCACCATACACACAGGCCCATGGTGTATAAATATGGCCGCCCCAGCCTACTCTTGTGGAGCAGACTGGAGTGGTCATCAGAGAAGAGACAATCACTGTTTTGCCCAATAGATATCTATCTGCCTCACCTACCTCCCACATTTTTCATGGGGCAAGGCTCATTATAATCATGTGCTAGTTCTTTCTTTCAACATAAACAGTGAAGCTTAAATAACAGAGTTACTACTCCCAAACATTGCGGATTACACTCAGGTCTGCAAAGCCTGGAGTATTTTGTCTGGTTTTATTTAATCCTTTAGTCTTTAGTTTCAAGGTCTGATGAACCACAAAGCTATCCTGAATGAGTCATAAAACGACCTAGCATAAATAATAAAAAATATTCCAGTGATCTCAAATTAGTATATTTTCAAAAAGACTCCTTCCCTTCAGCACGCAGGGACGATGAGAAATGTAGGCAGAGGCGTGGTCCTCCCGCCTCAGTGATTCTGCAGCCTGCTTTTGTTATCCTGAGCAGATTTTAACTGTAAGGAATTTTCTGATTCTTACGACTGAGGTCAGGAGACACAGAGGCAATCTAGATTGCATTTTCCTTCAAAGTTTGCTCATGATTTTTCAAGAGAGCCCGAAGAAGGAAAGAAACATGTTATTTGAGGGGGTGACAGCAGGCAAACAAAAGAAAGAGGCAGAAATTTGGATTGAAAACTAAAGTGGATGAGGAAGTCAAGCTGCCCTGGAGACAAATGACGAAGTGGGAAGCTCTGGAGAAGGCATTTGTGATGGGAACAAAGTGTTCCCTGCAGGTAAGTCTTTAAATGCCTTCTCCTTAGCTTCAGGAATGAGCAGTCAAAATCTTCCATTTCCTCTTGAGCCCGTCCCCAAATCTTCTACATGGGT